TGCGTAATCTAAGCATCGCACACCCACCATGACTGCCTAAGAGAAATTTAAACTTGCACATAAAAAATGTACATTGCTTGACTTTGTTTTCCTGTAATGGATAAGATCTGCTGACGATAATAAAATGACAAAAATAAATGTACCCAATACATTGCTTGAGCTCAGATTGTTTTCCGCTAATGGATAAATAACTGAAACTTTTGCAGTCATTATGTTTTTGCTGACGATAATGTAATAAAAATAAGAGGGCAAACTGCACAATCTCATTACACTTCATTATGACAAAAATAAATGTACCCAATACAAAAAGAAAATAATAATTAGAAAAATGATTGTTGAATTAAAGTAAAATCCACATGTGTGCTACTTGTTGCCACATAAATACTTTTTCATGACATATTACATCAATGATATTTTTCCCCAGCGTTTTGATTGGGGTCAGATAATCAGAAAGTACTAAAAATTTATTTCGCTTCTGTTATCCTATAACAGGGGAAAAAATTCCATAAGATATTGTTACTGGTTTTCTATAATATCTGAATTTTTTTTAATGTTGTAATCTCTTTAATGTGATGAATTCAGATTATTACTTTAACTAACCACTGCTTCCTGCCAGTGGTATATTGTGGAATGTAAAAGCCCAGCACAAAATTTCAGTTGGTACTTGTCGGTTTTACTGATTACCAGGAATTATGATACTACCTGATTACTAGTACTTGTCGGTTATGAGCATTTGATTATAAGTATGGTGGTGTTTATTGATAATCGATATATTAAACCCCAAAACATATTAAGTAATAAGAATTATATAAATCATTTCTAATTCTTTACCCCTCTTAGGCTTTAAACTGTTTATCTTTTAAATAAATTAATACAGTACAAAGTCCGAAATTCGGACGTCCATTATCTGGAATGATCTAAAATCCGGACCACTGCCAAAATTTTTCTCGTAGACTTTACGCATGCGCATTTAATTTCCCCCTTTGTGCATAATAAAACACCTGGAGAGTCCTGATTCTTAATTTCACTTTGACACTAAATACCTTGTTATTGAAGAAACAATGATTTTAGCATAAATTTGTACCATCGGTAATTTGGCTCCATTGCTGCGTATTTGCTTGGCACGCATTTCAAACCGAAAGATTCCACAGATACATCGTTGATATGACGCCAACCTGGCGAATCATTCTTTATTATACTTTCCTTTCATTACTGCATGTTTATCAAAACATAACAACTTGAATAATGACTAATGTAGCTATATCTAAACCAATTTTTTATGTTAGTATTTGAATAATAAAGGAGCATGGTAACCTTTTATGTTGACATTACGCTTGGCGATGATTACAGATTTCAGTTGCGCTAAAAAATGTTGACGAGGAAAAATTTACCAAAAATTTCTTTTCACATGCTAAAAATAGATTTTGTTGATGATACTCATAGACCCTAAGATTACATTTAGATCATAAATACTTCATTATTTCACTAATCACAATTTCATATTTTTAATTTTATGATTTCTATATGCCATCAGACTAGATTTAAACTGATGATCTATTATCCGGAAAATGCCCAAATCCAGAATCGCTGAAGTCCTGATGAGTCCGGATTTTGGACTTTGTACTGTATAAGTTTTTAAAATATTTTCATTAAAATTTCATTATTTAAATAATCACTTCCTCCTCCTCTTTTTTAATACTACATGACATTTTTGCTTTGGCACTTTAAAAATTGTTAAAACTGACAAGTATCTTTCAGTATCCAAAGTATTTATTTATTTCACTGCTTATTGTATATAATTATGTCTGCTAGTAGTAGTGGGTAAAATTCAACTTTACTTTGGTATTCACTTCAAAAAATGCTTGCTTCTAAATTCTAATTTTCCTTCTTCAAGCTAAAGTTGCAGACCACTAATAATTATTTCAATTCCAGATGTCTGAATGATCTGCCCGCATGACTTATATTCTTTTCTAATGTATAATATCAGCAAATTTGTTCAGATAGTTCCCCAAAAAGGATATCTATTTCAGGCAGAAAGCTGTTAAGTAGGTTGTCATAATTAGCCAATCAACACTTCTTTAACAGAGCATTATTATATGCAGCTTCACTTTTTCATCATTTAAAAAGTAGTGTTCAAATCTGCGATTAGAAATATCTTCTAAGAATCTTGGTTTGATCTGTATGGGTCTATTCGGATGTAATTTTTTTAAAGTAATATAGAAAATTATTTGGAGATTTGGGTAATCACATGTCTACAAGTATCATATCAAAGATAAAATTTAAGAAACTCATTTCTAGATGGCTGTGATATGTATTTTAAGTTTTTATTGCAACAGTTTTCAGTAGATTATTAGCCCACCAGTGGCTGAGTGATAAAAGCTCTGAAAACCAGTAGTTTGGTTTGGGGTTCAAATCCCAGTAAACAGACTGGCAGCATGTGTATTTTCATTGTTTTTCCCATGTGAAACATGCATACAGGCCAGTTTCCCTAAGAAAGTTTTTCACGAAGGCATCCCTTCCCCGAGGCAGATAACCTTAAAGTGCTTTGCTATGGTCAAGTAAACTAAACCATTATAGTAATTTGAATATTGCTGTTATTATATGTCATAAAATTTTATGATAGTTGTTAAATGGTAGTTCAGCCTGTACCTATCATAAACACATAAACCAAGTGCCATGAATCATTCATTGCAGTTGTATTTATATTACTCTGAAACAGTTCTGCTACTTCCTTTTTATAAGTGCTGGAATCTTTATAAATGATTTTTTTCCATTCTTTTCTGTAAAAAGGTGGATTTCTGTGCCAAACTGGGATATTGGTGCAAAATGTAGCTAGAAGGCGACTCCAATAATCTGTACAGTTTCATGAAAAAATGAGTATTTAATTAAATCCTCAATGAGTTACATAAAACGATGCAAAATATATTTCATCATCATTCTGCTCTTTTCATTTAACATTGTCAAAAAATTTTTTGCCTCATGCAGTTCATGCCACGTGAATTCGATTAGGTAGGATTTTAGATATTGGTGTGTGATACTGCATTGATGTTTATTTTGCTCTGTCCTGTAACCTTACAGTTGCTTCTTTTCTTTACGTATAACCCCCCCCCCCCCCCCCCCCCAAAAAAAAAAAAAAAAAAAAAAGAGTTAAAATGCAATTGATTATCTAAAAGGGAAAATTACTGCACTGATGTTCATTCTTTGCACATATTAACAATGTCATTGTAACATGCATATAAAAAGGCTACCATGTTTGGCACACAATAAAGTAATAATGTGTTTTATTAATAGAAAATTTTTATATTATCTTTTCATGTGCTGATTCTCACATTGGTAATATCTAATATTTTGCATGATGCTCAAGAGCCAAAACATTATGATCACCTACTCAGTAATGTGTTGCATGACCTTTGGCTTGCAAAGCAGATGCAACTTACCTTGGCATGGATGCCCCAAATTCTTAGTTGATGGAGACAGGTTGCACCAAATGTCTAAGTAACGGTCGCACAGAGTTGAGCTATTCCAACATGGTTGTTTGAGCTCTGAGCTGTAGCTCCATGACATCCCAAGTGTGCTCTATCAGGTTAAGATCTGGCAAGTTAGGTGGCCAGGACATTAATTTTAATTCATCCTTGTGTTTCTCGAACCACTCTAACACAATTCAAGCTTGTGACATGGAGCATTGTCCTGCTGGAAAATTCTATTTCTAGGTGCTATATAAGAGTGCAGCTAATCTGCAGTTATGTTCAGGTAGTCTACAGCTTTCATGATCTGTTCTACGAAAATTGAGGGTCCCAGAGCTGCACAGAAAAACGTTCCCCAAAGCATAATATTGCCACCACCTGCCTATGAATGACCTGCTGTACAGGGGCGAGCAACTGCTCACCTAGAAGTTGGCGAACTGACATGACAATTTAAATGATGAAAAAGAAATCTCTGATTCACCTGACCAGGCAACTGTTTTCCACTGGTCCAGTCTCGATGTTCCCGTGCCCACTGTAGGCGTAGTTGACTATGACACTTGTTCAAAAGACTCACACGAGTCTCATATCCAGCAGTGTCTGCTGAACTCTGTATTCCGAAACACTTAGACCTGCATTGTATTTAGGCTGTCAGCTGAGGCGCTGTCTGGTACCTTATTTTGCTGCACCAAGAAGGACAGTCTCTGATGTCCTTTTTCTTTGATGATGCGTGGACATCCAACACTTTACTGTCTACTTTTGGTTTCACTATCACATAAACACTTTGCATAAATACTAATAATGGCAGATTGTGAACAACGTACTAGTCGTGCATTTTCGGAGCAGGCCATTACAATCTGTGCTCTATCAAATTCGCTTAGATCAACAGCCTTTCCCATCACTCCAAAAGTGAGTGTAAGAATGATTCCGTACTTTCTCCAGCAGCAGGTAAACGCCATTTCAATGTAATTACATGCTCGCTATGTTATCTAGATGAGTTTTATTGAAAAATGTAGGTATGGTCATAATGTTTTGGCTTATCAGTGTATACAAGATAGTATTAAAATGTGTATTGACAAGCAAACAATTGTTCTTATAATCATACAGTATTGATAAAATACAAGTATAAGTGCATTTCCTTTTTTGTATGATTTTTCGCTCTTAGAACCTTTTCTAAAATTGCATTATTATAAAAATACAGCATATAGTATTTATAGTATACAAAATATATTTTATCAGCAAGGCTTCTGCTCTGAAGCATATTATTAATAATTAAATTTTAGGAATGTTAAAATATTATATGCAGATTTTTGACTGCTGGTTATTACACCCTTAATCTGCAAGTAGTGTATTTGATTAGCAGTATATTGAAATGGCCAATCAAACTAAAGTTGAATTTTGCCTTGTAAAGTTAGTATGTATGTGTAGGATTGTACTTGCTCATTTTTGTTTATTGAAGTAGAATGTTAAAATCTTTTCTATAATTTTACTGTTGTGCTACTATTTGATTTGTCTTTTAAATAGCCTAATTTTATACAGAATGTTGATATGTCACCCAAGTCAAAGAAAGAAAATCAAAGGAAAGTGTGGCATAAGGAAAAGAAGAAAAAAGTGAGGGGAAAGGTTAAGAAAAAGACAGCTGCATCTAAAGCATCTGCACCAGTCAAAACTAATGTAAATGGTATTCAAGTACCAAATGATGTTTTACCTCATACAAAAACGGTGAGAAACTTGATGAAATGTTTTGAAACAAAATTAGCTTTACTGTTTTGAGTTGATGAATGTAACTGTGTACAGTGAAATATAAATAATTATTTGAATGGCTGCTTTGATTATTAAATTAATTGATATAGTATCATATTATGTATATTGATATCCTTCTGTTGTCATATTTTATTATTGAATTTATAATAAATTAAGACTTTCCAGAGAAATCTTAACTAATTCTTTTGGAATGCAGTTTAGTTAAATAATTTGTGTTTTCCTCATATTTGTGATCCCATTACCTTTAATAAAGCTCTGTTAAAAACGCCTAAAAGTTAATGCATAGGTGTTGAGGTATTTACCTCCATATTGTTACAAAATGTCCAGCTGCGGTAAAATAGCTCTCCTACAAAATGGATTTAGGGTTGCCAGATTTGGCGCAAAATTGCCCGTTTGGTGACATTTGCCGATATACCATAGATGGAGGGAGAACCTTTTGTAACAAATTCGTACCGGTTTGGCCCAGAATGTTCTCGAATGCAAGCCAAAAGCTGCAAATAATGCAAAAATCCAAAAAATAGAAGTTCTTTTTTAAAAAAAAAACTTGTACAGTTTAAAAAAATTACAATTAGATATATTAAAGGGTTCAAATTTCACCTCATGATTGAAAAAGATAAGTGCTGGTACATGGAGTAGCAGTTGACTGTAGTGTAGTGAGTTGATCATCAGTCTAGTCTTGAGTTGGTCTTCGGCTGTATCGTGGGATATTGTGTCAAGAGTGTGCATCGTTGAAGCTAAAGAGTGTATCGTCGCATGCATCTCGAGTTGCAGTGTGGAAAGGCTGGATAATACGTTGAGTTCCAAGAATGACCGAACAGAGCTAAGAGCTGTACTTTAGTGCTTTGCCTTGAAGCTGCCTTAATATTAACCACTTATTATATTTAATGTTGGCAGTAGATTATAATTTTTCACTGGGGTTTCCTGAGGTGTTATAAAACATTTGCTTGTCTTTGGTTTGTTTTATTATAAGGAGTATGAGAATCTTTTAGTCTGTATCAAGAGCTCTAGGCTTTTCTTAAAGAATACTGAGTTTAAAGCATATTTTTGAAAGAAGTCTGTTTTCAAGTAATTTTTAGATATGTGTTTTATTCTCCGAAATATATATTGTAATTGAACAATTTTATAATCTGGTTTTATTTTATTATTGCAATTATTCACAAGAATTTATTACAAGAGTTATTTCAGATTATATTTGTCCCCTGCGCATTCATTTTTATTCTCATTTTAACATATTCTTCTGTTTTTACTGTAGGAAGAAAAAGCGAAAGATTCAGATAGCCTTGGGGATAGCGATAGTGACTCAGATCGTGGGACAGATCATTCAAGTTCTGATGAACAAAGAAACGAGAAAAACGACACAGAAGAAGATGCTGAATGGGAAAAATTTCAGAAGAAAGTATCCAAAAAGGAGAAGGCTCTAGAAACCAAATCTAAAATATCCCACACTGTCCACTGTCCTTTCTTTCCTGAGGTAAGTGCTGTTTCTGGCTTTAAAATAAGTCAATGAAAATATTTCATTGACGTGAATAGTGCATTTTATTCTTTGTAATTAGTATTTTGTTAATATCTTACAAAATTTGGTAATGATGTAATATGCAATACTTTCAAAATCATAACAAAGAATTTATTGTAAAATGTTCCAAAATAGCTTTACAGTGAAATAAAATTAATTTTAATGATCCAAGCACTCTTTCTGAATATTAGTCCTTTTATTATAATATCAGTTATCAATGAATCTAAGCCTAGTCTTCTTTGGATAATAGTAGTAAGTTAATAAATACAATGGTTAAAAAATTAATTCAGAGTAGTCTGATTAAAAATCATTAAAGTCTAAAAATTATTTATTTTTTAAATTACTAGCTTACATTTAGCAGATACTTGAGAAATGTAGCAACAGTTGCAAGTCTCAATTCAGTTCCAGCAACAATTCTGAAATCAACTAAAAGTGGTAGACATCATTACCCAATTTTGAATAGGATTGATTGTGTTGTCATTGTTAAATTCATATAAATTGAACACAATATGAAATTTAATATGAAACAAATGCAGTAATTTAAAAAATATAGTTTTTTGTGTGCTTAGTAGCTAGATTAAGCTTTTAGGTAGTCGTAAAAATTTTTTTAAGCCTTCTTTAATTGTCATTGAAAATTTTAGCAATTATACTATGAGATTTATAATTTTCTCCCTTTCTGTATAGCCAAAGCAGGAATTTTGGTGGATATATGTAATTGACAAGAAGAAACATGCATTGATTACCATTCCATATTTTGTGACAAGCCTTGTCAACCAAGAGGAAATTGAACTCAAATTTACTGCGCCTCCAAAACCAGGCATATACACATACTGTGTTGTTGTTCGAAGTGATTCATATGTGGATTTTGATGTCATAAGGCAGATAAAGGTATGCAAAACTATCTCCAGTATTTATTGGGAAAACATGAATGATTAAAATTCTGCCTATCAATTATTAGTGAACAAAAACATATGTATGAATACTTACAAAGACAACTTTCAGTATACAGTATAGGTTGTGTAAATCAAAAAGATATGTAAACAACAACATCACATAAGATATGTAAAATGCGGCACAAAACTGTCATCACCATTAATTTCGCAGTTGGTTGTTGTAATAGTTAACCACTGCTCTTTTTGCTTTGTTCTACTTTTTGTCTTTTCCATTTTTTGACTAAAAAAAGTTTTAGGATGGAGAGCACAAAAAGTAAAATACCATAATTTTATGTAATTGCCATCATTATGTAAGAATTACACCAAAAGTGAGACCTTTTTATTTTATATAATTACCATCATTATGCAAGAGTCTAGAAGTAAGTTTATCTCATACTGATAAAACTGTTTTAGATCATAAGAGTCTTGTAGTATCATTGTTATGTCTTTCACAGCACAAAGGTTTGAAAAGCAAGTGTTTTGAAATGATTGAGAAAGGCTGCGATAATATGCCACTTTTAAAATAGCAGAAGTTCGGCATCATGATGATGTTGAATTGAAGAATGATAGTGTAATTAGCTGTTGATGAATGCTTAAGTTTAGGTTTTTCTCTGTCTGTTCATTTGTTTTTATGAATGGTCAGTATTTATTATTTGGTTAGTTGTGAGCACTTCCCAGTAAATTCCCTTAATATCTTACGATATACTTAGCAAAATCTTTTTGGCATCTTGTTCTTCATTTGAAATAAATAATGCAAGCTTGCAACTTGGTACAGTTCTTCAATATATGACATTGTGATGCAATACCTACTTTTCATTGCCCATTAAAGTTTATTTTAAAAGTGGTTTACTTCACCTTGGGCACCTTAAAGGTGACAGCATGTTTTTCCAGCTCCAGCCTAATTAAAAAAAATAATAATAAATAAATAAAGGTAACACAGAAAACGTTTAAATGAAATCTAAAAGCCTTCATATTTTCAATTATGTCCAAAGGGACGTTTTTTCGACATTTTGTGTGTTACCTTTATTTATTAAATATCTTGTTCTTTACATTTAAACCATAAAATTCAGTTCAACTGCAATATTGCAAAATAATTTTAAAATCAGCATATCTTCAGAATTTTTTATACACTCGTGTGCTGGAGATATAAATGTGTTTCCTGTACAGCGTTGCCATTGCTCGCTTTGAAATCCTTGAGTTTGGGAAAAAAAAAAAAAAAAATCGTTAGTGTTTTACAAAATGTGAAATCGATAATAAAACAAATCCCAAATTTGGGCTTCCAGATGCCCATATTTGCAGGAGGATTATGTTATTCAAAATTTGATGGCTCAGGTACCATTGTTTTATCACAGTGCGAGAAATGTATGCATATACATGCATTCATACTGATTCTTCATTATTTAATTTCTTTAAATATAATACAGGGCGATAATATTTGGTGGCAACAAAATAAAATGAAACAACTCTTGTAGTGAATCAACGCAAAATGCCAAAATGAAATTAATTGTCCTTCTGTACGAATTGCCCTAAAAACCCCAAAGGGACAGATCCAAGAGTTTCCCATTGCTCTAATATAAAATTACCTGAGTAAAATTTTAACTCATTGTGTATTTTAAGTATCCCAGTGTCATGAAGATATACATTATTAACATCCAAGTTTTCTGTGGGATTTAAACTTGGGCACAACTATAAGGCAGTCAGCATCACTAACCAGCATATCAAATAGGCTATGAGGTCAAATCTTAAAATTTCATTTTCAACTCTGCTGCAAATTTTATTTTTTTCACTTATTTGTATTTGTGATGACAATACAATATGTCATAAAATTTTTTCCAAAATTTGATGTGGATTTTATATATATATATATAAATTTCCCCCACATATCTTGTTTAATGATCAAACAGTTAATATCTCATCATTTTGATCAGAACTTTGTTTGAAAGGTGCTACTTAGTGCCAAACAAAAATGTTGGTATGAAATCTAGGTAGATGGTGGCAAACCTGACAATATTTAAAGTTTTATGAAAATAATAAATCCAGAATAAATTCAGAAATAAGGACAAATAAAGATTTTACCAGATTAATTTCAGGTTACTGGTCACAATGAGCATAAAAAAAAAATCTGATTTTCATTTAACATTGCCAAAAAACGTTTCTATCTTTTTATGTAACTGTTGGTATATGAATTCAGTGAGGTAGAAACGAATCTAGGTCAGTGCCAGGCTGATGTTTATATTGCTATTTTGCACGTGACGTCAGGATCAGTAACGCTGTATTTGTGGTTAACGTGTAAATATTCATATCTGGCAGCTGCGAATTCTTGCATGTTAGCAAGTGAAAAATGTAGGAGAGGAGATTACTGTACCGATTATTGTTTCTTCATATTGACAGTGATGTTATTGCACTGCTCATATAATGTGATGTGATATAATCAGGCACATTTGGTAACTAATGTCTCTTTAACAGAAAAATTCCTTTCTTTATGACATTGGATAGATTATTAAATAGTTTTGACATTGGCAGTCCCGGATCTAGGGGGGGGGCAGCTCGGGGTCTATGCCCCGGGCGGCAACTTCTGAGGACGGCAAATTCAAGAAGGGCGCTGAATTGTATTTGGAATGTTGTCAAATTTTGATGCAACATTAGTAGGTTTAAGGTTAGGTTAAAGCCAGGTTTAAAACCTCTTTTAAGAATTTTTATAATTAATTATTCAGAAACTTTTAATGGAGCAAACAGTTTTAAAAGTAAGCTAAGTACAGCCGAACACGACTCTAAAGATAAGATCAGAGAGAGGACAATAGAGAGACTCCATGCGTCACCGAAAAAGTCAAAGGACCCTGTCCCTCTGCCAACCCAACATATAATTTCATTACAAAGGTACTCCGTAAACGCCTTGATCTTTGGTCCCTGTAAGTGACGCCCGCCTAGAGCAAAGAATCTATATATCTTTTCCTTCAACTTCTTTGCCTAGAGCCTTCTGTTGTCCTCTCTCCTGGCGGGAATATTCAAATGAAAAACAGAACGATAGTATAGAAGCGCCTTGTTTTTATACCAACGCCTCTTGCGAAATAAATGGAGAAACATTGTAAATTGTAACTCTTTACTAACACAAATACAAATTAACCTTGGACCAATGAAATAATTCAAATTAATGTACGTTGAGAATATACAACAGAAATGAAGTAAGGCATTTTGATTTTTTTGCAGTCAGCAACCTAGGTTTAAAAAATGGATTTATTTTTATTTTTATAGTTTTTAAAGTTTTTTAGTTTTTTTAATTTGTAGGGTTTTTTTTTTTTGTTGTCTCATTTTCTTGTAATATGCCTGCTTCTAGTATTCCTCACTATATTTAGCGAGATGCTAAATAGCGAGACACTTAGTGTGCACGTCCGCGACGTGTCCCTAATACTGTTGAATGTAATTACGTCAATTTTTAACTTTCCTTATTAAGGCAAGTTATACTGTATATTATTTAGGATGAAAGAAATCATGAGAGGGTCTAGGAAAAGCTCTCAGGGGCAGAATATAGAACCAGAGCAAAAGATAGGATTGAACAAAGGAAACAAATTGCAGCTAAAATGAAAAATGGCTTCACAGAAAAGACGAACCGTCAGACCCTGCCGCAACTTCCGATGGTGCCGAGATTGTAAACAATATTGATAATTCTGCAGTTTGCATGAAGATGAAGACTCTTCATCTATCATCCTCAAACAGACTTCATTTCAGCAACTGAGAGAACAACTTTCTTCATAGATCCCAAACTAACATCTAGAGGATATGAAATTGGGATATAAAGTATTTTCTCATTTATGTGAGTGTAGGCAGCAGAAAAAAGACTTAAAAATCTTTTGATTTCTCGGAACCAGGTAGTTAACCAATCACACACACACACACACACACACAAAAAAAAAAAAAAAAAAAAAAAACGGCAACGATCTTTCTTAGCAGTCAAGCTGTATTATTAGCCAAAAAAATATCCAGACAACGTAGACCTTAAGTACACTGAACGTGATGGAAGATATTTGACATCTTCGTTGTGGTACAGAACATTAGCAAATAATGAAAGGCTTAAAAGATCTTGGATTATATATTCTAAAACTAAAAATGCTATTTTTCTACACTCTGTGAGATTTATCAGAAACATGTCACTCCATTACATCAGCATTGTGTACTACAGGATTCACTAATTGGAAAAAAGCTTCAGAAAGGTTAACTGAGTGCGAAATATCTGAAATCCACAGAGAGTGCATGATTAAGTGGAAAATTCCACTACAACAAATGAAATGTGTCAAGGCATCATGACATTAAGAGAATAATTCACACAGAGAAAGAAAAATGGAGAAAGATTGTACAGGTGAGTATGAATGTTGTATTGTATCTTTCAACAAATTGTCTTTCTTTCCATGGGTCTGATGAAACCCCTGCCAGTCTGCTCACAAAGTGTCCTCAGCCTAGTCAAGGCAATTTTTTGAATTTAATGACTCTGCTAGCCAAACATAACTCTTTAAATACCAGTTAGAATACCTAAAGAAAGGATAAGTATCATATTTAACAAAGATAATTCAAAATGAAATTACTGATGTAATGACGAAAGCAGTTCACAATAGCATTTTAAATTATATTAAAGAAAACAAATATTATACAATAATGTTCGATTGCATTCCAGATGTGTCGCATACAGAACAAATGAGCCAGGTGATTCAATACGTAAAAAAAGTATGTGGTGATGTCTGTGAAATAAAGGAGAGCTTTATTGATTTCTTAGAAATTTGTGGAAAGATACAAGAATGTATTTCTCAACGGAATGTGGAAAAACTGACACTTGATGGTTTGGATATTGACAATGTCATAGTCAATTTGAAGGATAACATGGCAGGATTTAACATGGCCGGTACTTACCGGCCATATTAGATCCCGGAGTACAAGCCAGGATTACATAAATGAATAAGCTGGCCGAATATGTGCGATGTTTGGCTCACTCTTTGAATCTTGTCTGTGTGCTTCTTGCCCCGAAGCAGTTAACTTCTTTGGAATTATCCAGAAGATATTTAGCTTTTTTGTTGGATTCACTATTCGGTGGGATATTACGAAAATAGGTAGTACAATAAGGTACAAAACCAACTCAAAAAGGTAGCAGCCAGACGAATGGTAATCAAAATATGTGGCTGTGAAAGCCCTTCTTACGAATTTACCAGAAGTAGTAAAATCCTTGAAAGAAATTAATATCTTTCAAAGTACTGTATTACTATTTCAAAATTAATTATCTATCAAAGTACGAAGCAGGATATCTGCTACATGTTGTAAAAAATTTTGAATTTATTATCAGCCTGACAATTTGGGCTAATATTCTTCGAGAAATCAATAGAATAAATACTGAAATTCAAATGGAAGATATTATTCTTGCGCGTTCCATAGCATTAATGGAAAGTCTGACTAAAAATTTGAAAAAAATGAGAGAAATTCCTACGGAGTATAGGATACAAGAATTTAAAGCAGCAGCCGAAAAAAATTGAGGTTGAATCTATTCTGACAAATAAACGAATTCTAAAACAAAACGCAAAAAGGAATTTGATGAATTGTGCAAGAACGAATCACGAACATGACATCGTGTTCAGCTACTTTCTAATGCAATGAAAATTGTATTTGATCGAATGTTGCCAGAAATTAAAACGAGGGTAAACAGGCCTATTACACTAAATTCAAATTTCCATTTCTCAATGGCCTAGAGACATTGAATATGTCAACTGAAGAACTGCAAAAGAAGATCTTGCACGAAAATATGAGCGAAACCTCTAAACACATTTGAGTTATGTCAAGAACTTGCCATTTTTAAAGAACAAGCCCCAGTGTTACTCGTCAACATAAAAAAGGCTAGAGCTTTTCATCTCTTGAAGGATGCCTTTCACAATGTTTGTATTGCCCTGAGGATTTACTCTATGCTTCAAACTACATCCGCAAGCTGTGAGCGAAGTTTTAGCAAATTAAAACTTATTAAAAACTATCTGAGATCATCGATGAGCCAGGAGCATTTATCAAGTCTCGCAACAGAAAATCAAACAGCACATCAAGTTAATTATGACGATGCCATAGATTTATTTTCAGAACAAAAGGCTCGCAGAGTAAAATTTTAATTCCGTAATGTTTTAAGAGCGTTAGGTAAGAACTTAAAATTATTATTGAAATAAGAATTCTGAAACGAAGTACAATTACTAACCTTTTCCTTTCAGCAGTAGCCCGTATTGTTGTTATGTATAGTTAATGAAAGTTAGTTACGTAATTAATCAGCTCATCTATTGTTCTAACTTATGTAACCTATCGTTTGCAAATAAAGATTATTTTTATTAGGAGTGCATAATCAAGGGTATCGAAAGACGTATATAATTTTAAAGGTACAATAAGGTATTTTTCATTCTTTAAGCGTAACATTTTTGCTAAAATCTTCTCTAAACATAACATTTTACATAAGCATAACTATACAAATTGCTATTATCCATCACACAATGAATGTTTCTTTTATGCGGAAGTGTCCGATTTATATGGAAGTATCATGTGCCAAAATACTATCACTGCGCTGTCAAGGGAGGTTCTAAATGTAAACAAAAAACACTCCATCTGGAGACCGAAGCCCTCAGAGCACTGCTTCACCCGCAGTGCGGAGTTGGCTCTCCTTTCTTTCTTACCTCCATGGTCTGGCTAGTTATTGTTGCAAATATTGCAAAGTTGCGTATTTCAGAGAAAATGATTATTACAGTACAAAAATAGTCTTTTGCGTGAATATGTAAATATTTATTATGTTATCAGGCTTTGTGAGGACGATGGTAGAGTTCTTGAGTAGGCTACATAAAGGCGTTATTATGAAATGAATATTTAACGTGCTAGGTTAAAGTTACTCTTAGTATCGAGAAATTGGTACAAAATTATTCAATACATTGTATTAGTGATTTGCAATTTGCTTATATTTGTTTAAATGAAATTTTTTATTATTTAGTAATGTCTGATTCCCATTTTTGTGCTGTGCTGAACTATTTTAGTATTTAGTGCTGAATCGTTTTCTATTAGCATCATTTATTAGTGAGAGTAGGTAATGTTGCAAATATTGAAAAAAAAAATCCCCATTTCAGGGAAAATGTAAATTTGATTATTTCAGTGCACCGGAGAAGTAACTGCATTAAGAGGGTTGGCACGGGTTTTTAATTATGTAACTTTTGGTATGTATGTTCGGCCACCAGTGGCTGAGATGTAAAATCTGAACACTGGTAGTTCGGTCGGGGGTTAGAATCAAGCAAATTAGCTGGCTGCATGGGTGTTTCTGCCGTTTCGCTCATGCGTAACTTGCATATGAATCAATTACTCATAGAAAGACCTCAGCGAAGACATCTTTCCTCTTAGGCAGGCTAATCTTTCCTCTCATGCTTTGCCATAAGTAAAGAAATTAAACCATTTGTTATGTATATTTCTTTTAGAACAAAAATGACACGTAAAGAATTTCTTACTATAAAATGGATTTTATATTTTGTCTTGAAAACTACTTATTTCTATGTTTATTTAAAAACTAAAATGTGTTACAGAAACTTAAAGAAAAATGGGTAAGGGCGGCAATTTAAAATTTTTGCCCCACCTCGGAAAAATGCTAAATCCGGCTCTGAACATTGGATAGATTATTAAATAGTTTTGTAAATGAAATTTTTTCAAATTTTTTTATGTAATGTGTGAAATTTTGGCAGTTTTTTAAAAATAGTTAAATTTGTTTTTATTGTTATGATGCTATTAACCCTGATGAATTTTTAAATCAAAAGATTTAACCTTTATCATAAGCAGGCTGGGGATTTAAAATAATGATCTTAAATATCTAAATCAATTAGAAATTCATATAAATGTAATCTGTTGTTACTAATGCTCACTTGTCTGACAGTAACATCAGCCCAAGCTCACAAAATTCCTCATGGCAAGGATCACAAGATACGCTTGTCATTGGCCTTGAGCAACTTTACAGATGAAATGAATGTAATCTGATGCTAGATTAGAAATAGCATCTTCTTACTTACAGAGGCAATGATTTTCGTTTTGTTTATCTTTATTCAGACTAAGAAATATAAAATGGAATATCTGAAAAGGTGTTTTAAATTAGTTTTAATTAAATGTGCTAAAATTATGTCATAATTTTCTTGATCATGTGTAACTAAAAAGATTATGCAACTTCTGTATTCAAACTGTATTAGGACATTAACAGCATTTTGCGGAACTGTGTAATTGATAATACAGAAAAGACCTGCGTAGAAATGATTATATTTAATTCAATTCAGTTATTTTGTGATAATTTTGATATAAAATTTGCCATTGTTTGTAGCTTCTCAATTTTGCATCTAGTGTGTATGACAGTTTTCCCACTTTTTTAGTGCATTTGTTTAAGGCTATGTAATTTAGAAAAACTTTTTATACACTGTGTTGACAAATGTCCTTACTTTGAATTTATTTTTGTCAGTGTTGATCATAAATATATACTTGCAGTTACATTTTAATGATGCAAGTATTAATGTTTTGGCATTTTTAAAGAAATAAATTTTATCAAAATTATTAAATCTAGCTTCTTTTTATATGTTCCTGCAGTCCCTGTACATATATTATATTTAGGAAAACTCTGTATTCGTTAAAAAAATAGCATAACAAGTTGATTCCTATAAGACAAAAACTGACCGAGATTTTTAATTTCAAAATTTGAGAAATTTGGTTTGGCTTGAGTGGTCAGTTGATAAATAAATTAGAATAATTCTCGAGGTTGATTTTTTTTACCCTTGTATGCCATTGATATTTTTTTGATTTATTAATGTCTAATTTATAATTTTGTTACAGTTGGTATGCTAAAAGAATTTTCACACAAGTAATTTATAACCAAATCTAAAGATATTAATATCATCATGAAATTCTGTTACTTTGAATCACAACTGGAGATCGTATAAAAGTTAATTATAGTGCAAACAATTTTATTTTTCATTAATACAAATAATATTACAAGTTGGCTGTGTGTTATATCCCAGTGTAAGTCTGCCAGCATTCTCTTGATCACAAATTCAGATTATAAAAATAAGAATAAATGTATATTGATAAATATTGTTTGCAATGAAATACCAATTTTATTGAGGTTGGTACAAACATTTCACTCTTCAATTTGTATACGGCCCTTGAAAATTATCTCTGATTTTAATATAAAATATTTTGGTCAATTTTTACAGTACGGATGTCACACTTTTTTGTTTTATTTTTTGTTATGAAGACAAAATTTTGCCTAAAATGAGGAAATCATATAAAAAGTGAGATTTTTAATTTTGATAAAATTAATCTCTCTAAAAATGCTCATGCATGAATATTTAAAACATTTTTTAAGACATATTTGTAATTGGAAGTGCAAGTCTATGTGAACAGTTGTGAGAACAGAGGAGTTTTGTGGACATGATGTATATTTGTCCATTTCAGTCAGTAATAATGATCATCATGTCAGTAATAATGATGATCATTATTATTGACTGATTTCATTTCAGTTAAACTTTACTATAGACATATCTCACTTTTGATATTCTGCTTTTCCAGCTTGATGTAAAGGAAGCCAAAGAGGTAGATCTAACTCAGTTGCAATGGGATGTTTCTGAAGAAGAGGAAGAGAAAGACGAGGAAGAGAGTGCTGTTGAGGATTCTGATTTGGCAACTGATGATGAACTTGATGATGAGTAGATATCAAAATGTTTATATGTAAAATTATGTATTAAGTCATTTTTATAACAGTCAGCGCTGGAAGCTACAATAAATGGGAGACCTGTAATCAAGGTCTCATTCTTCAGACTTGGACATGGTGATTGACCAAGCATATTAAAGTTAAAACTTGCCTAAGTTATTAGTCTTTTCTAATAAGATTTTCATATTTGCTATATCACACTTTATATATGTTTGTGTTTCTAAGTGTATACAATATTTTTATTAGAATGAATGATTTCTTATGATGATTGGCAAAATTAAAATTTGATTACAATTTTGTACTCTGTGTATGTATATATGTATGTTGACAGTTAAATTAATTATGAAATATTGTATCAAAAAATTGCAGTTCAGATTGATATGAGGAAGTTACATACATTAACAAATCGGTAATTCTGCATAAGGAATTATGATTGTGTTTTCTTACTTTTAACTCAAGACCCTACTAAGAAGTCATTTGTAAACCATTTTAATACTAAGTAAACATACATTTTTTAAAAATTTTCTCATCTAAGTAAAATCAGTGTTGTAAGTTGAGAAGAATTTTATTTATTTTTTGAATGATTGGAACAATATTTTAAGATTCATAAGTGACTTTACTTTTTTATTTTGATGATTCCGGTGCATATTTTCTTAAGATTTATCTTTTTTATAGATTTCTGAGCTTTCTTAGCTTTTTTGAGTGCATATTATTACACCATGCTGTGTTATTTAAAATTTTTATTACTATAAGCAATTAGCTAAAAAATAGCAAGTTGCTTTTTGTAATATATATTTTAAATAGCTTATTCTGTGATAATAATCTAGTTAGGTATGATGCTTATTTCTTAGTATAGTTCTTTTTGTTTTTCTTTCTATTAATTTTTAAGTGCTTCAAAATGTTGTTCCACTTTTCAAAAATAGAATCATAATTTATGTCCAAATATGTTTATAATATAACTAAATGATTTGCGATAATAAATGTAATTAAATGTAATAAGTTTTAAATTATGAATATAATAACTAATACCTCATGAAATCTATTCATTGAGCTAATTTATTTGAGCTAATTTATGTAAAATTAAACTGCTTCTGTTCAAACATATATATCAGAAAATTTGCCAAAACAAAAATTATACATTTGATTTAGAAAACTCATATTTTACCATAAATATTGCAATTTTTCAGCTCATGAAACTGCACTGGAAAAAATTTTAGTATTCTTCGTTTCGTAAATGAACATCAGATAAATAAATTTGTTTCTTGATCAATTATTTGATTGATTGATCAATAAATTATTGTATAAAAGTTTTTGATTTCAGGTTCTTCACAATCTTGCTAACATGCATTAAAAATGATCTCTGTATATGAACATTTTCCATAAGTGTAAAAAGTAATATTTATTTAAATGGAATGTAAATAAAAAAATTTCATAAATAAGAACGTGTTATTAAAATGTTGCCTTGATTGAACTGAATATTCTTTTCTTTAATATGCTCAAACTCTTGAAACTTATTTTCCAATCTATAATTCAGTATTCATATTTTTATGCAGCTGATTATTTATTTACTAGAACTGAAAAAATTCTGTAAATAGCATAGAATAGTTCATATGATTTTGCATTTATATAACATATTTTCTTTTTTAATTCATAAAATTTCAAACACTTAAAAATGAAAGTGCCTGTTGCCAAATATACATATAAAGTACGTGAAAATTGTTTGAGATTGATTTTTTAAACTAAGTAATGGTTGAAAAATAGAAATTAATTATATGCTAAAACATTTTATTATAGCTTAAATCAACACATCAGTATGAAATCATTTTTGAATCTGATTGAATTAAAATAAACTAAAGATAATTAAATTTAAAAAATAAACTAAAAGAATTATTTCTCAAAAAAACTTATTTGTAATAGATTTGTGAGCGTGTATTTTCAATTTTCTTTATAAAATGTATACCAATAAAAAAGTGCATTTTTGTTATTTTACGTCATGAATTTAGATTCTTGTAGGAGTCACTGAGAATAATTTAGTTTAGAGAGTTATCAGTTTTTAATTCCCTCATTTTATATTAAACTTTTATCAATCTATTATTAGGAAGCATTCTAAAAAATAAAAAATATATATACATATAATATTAATAAGAAATGTAATGAGCACTTTTTTTAAACATTTCTTATTGGGGATTAAATTTGGGATAGTCGGTCACAAAAATATAAAGGAAGTATAAAATATATCTGTATATATTGGTGGGCTTTTAGTTTTCCCAAGTGTTGTGAATAATATGCATATGAAGTTATTTTTTTCCACCTTTCTTTTTAATATTTGATTCAGCTCACTGCCTAGCTTTCTGTTTGTGCATTCCAAAACTCCAGATTTCTTTTTTCTTTACAGTAGAAGAAATAAGTAAAATAAATATTTCTTTTTTAAAGTAAGGTTTGCTAGTTTTATAATGAATGTAAGTATAATGAAGTGGCCATAAAAGTGTAGTTAGACAGTTTTTTTATTACATGCCCATTTTATAAATTCTGTTTACTAGCTAATTTTTGGTAAAATAGCATTTTATAATAAGGAGCTTTTCTAAAGTATTTTATTCTTCTTATTTATGATAAAAAAAAAGGTAAATTGAATTTTTCATTTCCAAGTATTTCATGAACAAAAAATGAAGTTTCATTCTGCTTAATAATTATGGAAACATCTGTTGAATGTGGATGCTGATGAAGCAGTTCCCTTAATATGCATTTTTAAAGATAGAAAGGAAACTATAATCTAGATTAGCATCCCTTAATAGCATTGTCATTTAATTTTCTTAATAAGTTTTGTTTACTGGAAATTTGTAAAATCCATTGTAAGTGCTGATACACAAACCTAATTTCAGTAATGTATTTTCTTTTAAACATATTTTTAAAGCGTTTTATTAAAGGTCGTATAGTTCTAAATAGTAATTGTGTTAATTTTACTAATGGGAGTTACGTTGCTAATAAAGTTACTTTCTAAATTTTTTGGGACATTGATTTATGCATGTTACTGTTTAGTTTTGAACCACTTTAAATTAAGAGTTCATTTTTTGTTGTTTTTAGATTATTTAAGGGTATAAATTTTAAATTAAGATAAAATTATAATGCCTCTTTCAGTGATTTAATTTGAGCGAAAAACCAAGTGACGTTTTAAAGGAAGCATAAAGTAATTATATCCAAAAGTGTGTTATTTTGTTAGCTTGACTTTCAACTACTTAATGTGACAAATTTTTTTTTTTTTTTTTTCCACACCCTTCTCTAACACGATACACTGTAAACTGAATTGTGTTGAACAGTAATATATAGGTAGATTAAATCTTACTCACAAGCCTTATGAAGTAAATGTTTAATACCTGTGTGGAAAATGTAGGGTAAAAGAATTTCTGGATTCGTTGGTGAACTCGGGCATTATTTTTCCAATCTGTGTCATAGAAATTGCTTTGAATATATACCAGTCATATAAAATAATTTTTTTTTTATTCAGGATCCTTATGTATGTATATTTTAATTGTATTATTTTTCCCTTAAAGAAACTCGCAATTTGTAAAATTATATGCATGCAGTTATTATAGTTAATTCTGAAATTCCTAAACTAAGCATTTTTAAATTTTGAAAAATTGAATGTTCTGAATTTATCTGTTTAAAATTTTGCCTTGCATGATAGTTTGGATACTGAATTAAGTCTTTATTTATTTAGTAATTTAAACCTAGTTTCACATAAGGCTTATTAATTTGGTGAATGAGTCTTGTAATTTATATTGTTTTTGATATGTTGATAGATGTTTACTTGCACTGAGAGAATTAAAATGTTTATTATGCATGTTTTTATGTTAGCATTTCAGCAAATGGTTATACAAATCTATGGTTGTGGCCAGTTATAAAATATGTAATATGATACTGTGAAAAGTAAGAGAATAAATTATTTTCTATACAGAAATGAAGTGTGATTTTTGAAAATCTTGTTGTATGTATTTTAAAATTTATCTTCAGTTATGACAGCTATTTGCTTTAGAGATTAGCACATGCTAATATTACCGTATTTGACAGCATATAAGACGCACTTTTTTTCCTAAAATTGTTCTCAAAAAAGTTACCTGCATGTTATATGTGAAGGACACAGGTTAACTTTCAATACTGATGAATGCTATTTTTAGCTTCGATAAAGGTTCTAGACACACATAACCAGGGTTGCCACACTACCTGGAAAAGCGGGAAAAGTCAGGGAATTCGAATGACCAAAAAATTCAGGGAAAAGTCAGGGAATTTAAGTATTTTTGTCAAAATCTGGAAAAGTCAGGGAAGTTCATACAATGATCCTGCCGAAAAAAGCGATTTTTGCGCCGACGTCGGAAGAGATAACTTTTTTTGGCGAATTGCGTATCACGTGAGTGTCATTCGGGCAGCTGGCATAGAGCCAATTTTCGCAGCTCCAATTTGATTGTCTTTTAGAAAGGCAAAGCAAGTTTCCCGCAACTTTTGGTTTCCAGTATTCTCGAGAATCGCATGTGCAGTGCATGAACTAAAGAAAGTACCTGTTCTCGCATAAAAAAAATGGGTTTAATCTTAGTATACGGTACCATGGAGGTTAGAATCAAAGAATATGTATTGTAAAGAAGGAAAACCTCTCTGCAACAGACGTGGCTCCGTTCCATCATAGAGGGAAACAGCTGTGCATGCGTGATATATCTGCTGCCAAAGCTCGAAACCGGTGTCGAAGTTCGAAGGTCACGTTATCAAGAGTTCATTAAATGAATATCCTTTAAAATTTCTTTAACCACTTGCGCTAAAAAGACGTGCCACGCACGTGGAGATGTTTTTGTCTCAAACTGCGAGCGACGTGAACACCACGTCGATAAGCATTTATCGCAAAAATGAAAATAACATGGTGCACACGTCGCCTAACAACGAGATTGTTTATTTCTCGAGTTACAGCTCTGGATTGCACTCGCAGATGCGGAGCGGCGTAAATGAGACACTTGCTATATTGTAGCGCTTGACACCCGCTTGCTATATTGTAGCGCACGGCACCGCAACCGTGAAGTTTAGTTTTAGCGCAAGTGGTTAAACTCTAAAGGAAAAGAAAATATTTTTTGGCGCAAGTAAATTAATACATGGGTTAGTAATTTTCAGGGGGGGAAAAACTACGAAAATCCGTTTTTAAAATTATTGCGAAAAATCTAAGAAGAAACGTCCTTTGATAAAACCTTTCTTCTTGGATTTTTCGCAGTAATTTAAAAACTGATTTTCGTAGCTTTCTTTTTGTCAAAGAACGTTTCTTCTTAACACGTTTCTCAATTTCCGGTACGCATCGCGGAGAGGGAAATTCTGGCCGCCAGGTTCCGTCGCCAAATCCCTTGGCATATTTTCCCTCCGCATTCTAGCGGCGTAATAGCACTGAGGTATTAATCACCGAAACCAAGGTAATTTCTTTCCTTACTTTTTCTTATCAGAGGGATTTGTAAAAAGATACGCTAAGGTGAAAAATTTTGCAATATTTTTAAAGAATTTTAAAAGTATTTTTACTTCATGAACTGAAATTTTTACTATACATTTTTACACAGTAAATAAGTACAAAAAAAGAAAGAGCTAGGGGATCACTGGGACTAGAAACTCGGGTCGAACTACCAATGTTTAGTGACTTTTCCGCTTGATCATAAGACCTTTTGAAATTAGGCTGAACAATATATTAAAGAAAATAGAAGATACAGCACACGTAAGAACAAAAGTGGGCTGAATTAGAGATTTACATGTTTAATGAATAAGTTAAACTTACCTGTATGCCATTATGAAATATTAGGAATGTAGCATAAAAGCATGAGTGAAGAAGGCAATGGCAATCTAAATGTATAACATTATCAGTATCTGCTATTAATTTCAATACTGCTGAAAAAATTATAAATGAATTATATTATAAATCGTATGAACTCGTTGCATTATAAATTACAACAGTTAGAAATATTATTAGCGTGATTTAGCGACCATCTTTGTTAACAAATAATTTCAAGTAACTAATTTTACAAATAATTCAGCCTGAAACTAGGTTAGAAAATAAGCTACATGCTGAAGATTAAGCTTTGCCAAGGTGTTAGAAACATCTTCTGTTAACTAGAGTTATGAAGCAAGAATTTGTAAAAATTATCATTTAATTATAAATTGGCATAAATACAATACAAATTATATAAATTTTACATACATGAAAACTTGAGTACAGTGCAACAATATGTGAAAAAGGAATGGATTAAAAGGGAGACTGAAAATCCCAGGATATGAATATAAGGGAGTTTGATTTTTTTTTTTTTTTTTTGTTAATTATAAAAATTCTGATGACGCTCATAATTATCAATTTATTAATTAAATGTGTATTAGAAATTAAATGCATGCCAAAGTACATCAGGTGGAAAACAGAATAAATATTTAAACG